TTCCAGCCTGGGCGACAGAGAAAGATTCTGTCTGAAAAATAAACAGAAACGACAACAACATCAACAAAATAATTAAGCAGTTACGATGTGATGTCTATTTACTATGACAAATAATATTTTAAAAATAAAGATAAAACCAGAGGTAGCAAAGTTTTGGGCTGTTATAGGTAGGCAGCCAGTTATTATACTTTGATAGAGGCCCTCAAAACAATGAAAACTGTACCCTAAAATATTCTACTGCTACTTTCTATAGTTGTGCTTGTGAAGATCTGAAATGGTCCCCAGAGCAGACTCTGGGGTTTGTAGGATGGCAGGGGGTTACAGAGAGAAGGCCTGGAGACAGTCTTCTCTATTGCATAACCAATTACATCAACAACATGTGGTTTCTCAGCTCCCAGCCTCTCCAGTTGCCTGGGGACTAACAATAGCAGGCACTGACTCTTTGAAGGGCCATCCCGCTATCTTCTCAAAATGACCCAAACACACATTAGGGAGGGTGAGACAACAAAGTCTGCAGGATGTGTTTTGATTGCTGATTCCCATGACTTCAGATCAAATGAAGTATTCCTTTATACCATACAAATTCATATTTTTATCCTGTCTATGTATCTGAAGCAACCACTCACTGACATGTGCAACTAAAGCAAAACCACCGAGTCTGGAACAACTCAAGGTAATGCCATCTTTCTCAGTGTTGGCTAATAACACACTCTGTGGTTACGGCACAAAATAGTGTATGGTATATTGGTCTGAAGAAGTATTTTTCTTTTTTTTAACATTTAAGTTTAGGGGTATGAGTGTGGGTTGGTTATATAGGTAAACTTGTGTCATGGGGTTTGTTGTACAGATTATTTCATCATCCAGGTATTAAAGCTAGTACCCATTAGTTATTTTTCCTGATCCTCTCCCTCTTTCCATCCTTCACCCTCCAAAAGGCCCCAGTGTGTGTTGTTTTCCTCTATGTATCCATGGGTTCTCATCATTTAGCTCGCATTTATAAGTGAGGACCTGAAGCATTTGGTTTTTGATTCCTGTGTTAGTTTGCTAAGGGTAATGTCCTCCAGCTCCATCCATGTCCCTACCAAGGACATGATCTTGTTCTTTTTTTTTTTTGAGATGGAGTTTTGCTCTTGTTGCTGAGGCTGGAGTACAATGGTGCAATCTCGACTCACTGCAGCCTCCACACCCTGGGTTCAGCTCTTGTTCTTTTTCATGACTGCACAGTATTTCATGGTGTATATTATTTTTGTGCAGGGAGTTCTTCTTCTTCTTTTCTTATTAAAATAAATATTCGCTCTAAAATAACACTTGCCTTACAAAATACAAGTACCCAGTTATTAAAAATTAATGCTTTGGGACAACAAAAGACTTTCTTTTTCTTTTCATCACACATAGCTATAATGACAATCTAATTTTTTTGTAGACTAGGATTGTTCTACCACAGCATTAATTTTTAATAACTGGGTACTTGGATCTTGTAAGGGAAGTGTTATTTTAGAGCAAGTATTTGTTTTTTCTTTTTTAAAGAACACCCCCACAAAACAACAACAACAAAAAAACCCAAATAGTACATTGTATGAGGGAATAAAATGGTTGCTTAAAAAACATCTTCTAGTATCTGCGAAGCGTATGAGGGTGAGGGGCCAAGGGATTCTTCTCAGCTTTTAGAGCCAGGTCCATTATTGCTGTGATAGCAGAGGAGCAGGGAGTGCCATGATATGCAAAGCATTTGAAAGGAAAGGAAAAAGTGCAAAGGAAGGAATTAACACCTGCCTTATGGCATAAGACATCTAAGAAAACAGCACGGCTGAATCCAGAATTTTAGTAATACTAAAAATTGTTTTTAACATCACAAGTTTTTTTTTTTTTTTTTTAAATATAGTTTATTTGGCCTCTGAATGTAAAGTGAGAGACCAGAATATCACAAGTTTTAACTCTAAGTTGTTGGGATCATGCTTTCTCTAAGTTTAACCCAGCACCTTCATCTAAATAAGAGTAGTATGGCTGCTTGCCAAACTGTGTAGCTTAAGAATAAGAGGAAGTACAGAGAAACATAATGACAGGAATTGCTTCTATTAGGCTTGCGAGTTCCTGGGAACCACTGGGATCAGTAATTTGGCTGCTACCTTGACATCCAGAAGAGAAAAAGTAATGAGAGAGGGTACAGGGTATGTGGTCACATGAGGGCAAGCGCAGCGGAGGTGATGGCGAAGGCTTGGCTGGGAAAGGCAGTGTGTACACTTACACCAGGAAGCCTCACCAGTGATTGCCAGTAAGATGTAACAATTGTGCCTTTACCTAGTTAGATCTTTTTTCTCATTGAAACATTGTTTCTGGCTTCCAAAATAATCTATGCACTATGTAAAAATAAGGAAAATCTCCATAAAAATATAGAAAAATTATCACTCATAAACGTATCCCCCAAAGATACTCATTGACAACATTTTGATGTGCTTTTTTCTTCTAAACACATTTTAAAATCAACATTTGTAATCTATGGTGTAAAATATCTTACAATATGATGTTTTTTCACTTGGTAATAGTCACGTTAAATATTCTAGACATAGTAAAAGTTTATTGAAGCCCTCTTTCCATGCCCAAGACCACTTTTTTTGTCTTTTGTTTTTCTTTAAAAACTAGTCTATTTTTCAATTTTTATTTTTATTTTTTGATTTTTAACTTCTCTTTATTTTAGGGGACAGTTCTCCAAAAGAGAAGAGAAAGGTAATCAGAGAAGGTACTGGGTATGTGGTCCCGTGAGTGGCAGCACAGAGGAAGTGAATGGGAAGGCTTAGTCCCCTCCCCCTAGTTCACTCGTATGTTCAAAGGATGGAAAGATCCCTTTTGGTTTTGGATAACCTCAAAGATTTCTTGAACATGTGGTTATCTGAGTTAGACCTTTAAGACTGCTAGAATTTTTGAGAGGCACAGATGAAGGAGGCATATATTTTAGGTGAATGAAAGAGAATGAATAAATTTGTGAAGGTGGAGAAACCCAAGGGAACACACAAACTTAAACACACAGGGAGTACTGGGAAGTAAAAAAGGGTTTCATTGCTGAGCTGAGGGCTGTGAACAGAGAGAGGAGTAACAAGAGGCAGGAAGTGAAGAAAAAAGGTGAGGGCTTTCGGGGTTGGTATCTGGGTCATCAGTGGTAACTACGGAGGAAGGATAACTTTCCAATTCTGTTGGTGGGGTCAAAAGTAAGGAAATAGAGGTTTGCAAAGACCTCTTCTTACACTGAGAAATTAGGCTGTGAAAAGAACAGAGTACTAACACTAACAGGGGTTATCAGAATCAGTAGTGAGGTTTTTTTTCCAAGGCAGCAAACCAGAAACTTGATGTTAAGAGACATCTCCTCTGAGACAGGAAGAAATGAGACAAGTACTGAAGTACAGAGAAAGAAAGATGAAGGTACTCATTCTCAATGATTTTTTTTTTTTTTCGAGACAGGTCTCACTCTGTCATCCAGGCTGGAGTGCAGTGGCATGATCTCAGCTCACTGTAGCTGCCACCGCTCTTGGGCTCAAGCAATACTCCCATCTCAGCCTCCAGAATAGCTCGGGCTATAAGCCTGTACCACCATACCTGGCTAATTTTGTTCATTTTTTGTAGAGATGAGGTCTTGCTCTATTGAATAGGTTGGTCTCAAATTCCTGGACTTGAGTGATCCTCCCACCTCAATCTCCCAAAGTTCTGGGACTACAGGTGTGAGCCACTGCACCCAGCTTCAATAATCTTAATTTTTTAAATAAAGAGGAGAGATCATCTGCTGACAGAGGAGAGAGGTGGTGGGGACTCGGAGGGAAATTAATAAGGAGAATGGAGTTGGACCAGAGAGAACGCTGGGGTCCGGTTCAGGCTAGAGGGTATGACTTTGCAGTGGGGCATGTCAGTGGAGTCATACAATCTTCCCCAGGACACTTTGAATCCTCAGAGCACCGTCTCTATGGTGGAAGCATTAAGGGATGGATCCTGATTGAAGGCCATGCAGGAGTAGGTAAGTCTCTGAGAACAATAGTCAGCAGTTGACCTTTGTAAATGGGTTGGCCAGGTAATGGAAAAAGAATTACAAGGACTTAACAGATTGGGTGGGGTGGGATGGGAGAGGAAATGCTTCAAAATAATAAAGTATGAGTACCTTGGAGGTGTTATTTCAGGAGGAAGGTGGGGAGGGAATGGTGATTTAAATCACATCGATGTATTTCAATACATATGTGTAAGGTACAACGTATGCAATCTAGAACAAAGTATTTGGAGAACAAATCAGTTGGCTGAAATAAGCACAGAGAGCCTGATTTTGATAATTTGTTCTTCTAATTTCTGAATCAAACTGTTTAAAAACATGTATTGGAAAATGCATCAGCCTTGGAAATAATCTGATGGATAAGTCTTCAATGAGAATGGAGATTGGGGGCTGTAAATCAGGAAGGTCTGTCTGGCAGCTACCTGGCAGTCAACTCACTGCACACAGAAAGGAATGGCTCAGGTTAATGAAGCAGCTTAAACTATGTAAAAGCACAAAGGTCGCAAACCATGTAGTGGGTGGGGCATGCCAGCCACAGAAAAAGGGCGCCTCCCACAAAAGTGCACAAAGTGTGTAGAGAATATCAAAACACACGGAAACCATTTACATCACGGAAGGAGTTTATCTTTCTTTCCCAACCTCCTATAAAACTAAAACGTTGTATGGCACATGTCAAAACTAGCAGCTATAAATTCTCAAATCCATAAAAAAAGCTTTGAATTTTAAATTATGTAGTATACTGGAATGTCAATAAGCAAGAAAATATACTAGTTTTTTTTTAAGTTATAGAATTAATCACTTGTATACTGCAACTTAATGATGTACGATGATTTGAAAGATGCAAAGCCTCAGAGGTAAAAGCTGTTACCAAGCCTCTTACAGTAAAATCTAGGTGCGATCAATATTTTACACTAGGAGTTAAAGGGGAGGGAGCAACCAAAAAATTAATAAAAGAAGAATAAGAATACTATACCTCCGGATTCATTATCCCTTCTTTTTTAAAGCAGCTGTAAAACATGTCCATGGAAAATACTTCACTCCAAAGATATCCATAATATTGGCCATCATATCCCCCTGCCAAATGTCCAAAAGTAGCTGGCATATTTGTGCCTTTAAAAAAAATACATTTCAATCAATGTGATAGCAAATGTTAATGATGAGGTTAACAGCTAGCTAAGGTTTCCCTTTGGGGAGCCTAGCTGTGGGAGGAGAGAGTGAATGATATCATCTCACCTCTAATACTCCCTGGGCTTATGTGTCCTCTTGGCCAAGATGTTTATAAACATCTATCAATGGCTCAACCTCAGAGCTGGTTTCGGCCCCAAGCTCTGGAATGATAGTTTCAGCGGCTTTGTCCACACCCATCAGATAGCTCAGTGTTTTGGAACTGAAGTCAGTCCTTTCTTATCCCTTAAACATGTATGTATCTTGGAATATAATATTAACCCTACTCTTTGCCACATCTCTTTATGTCTAAAATGTCTCAGAATCACACTTATTTTAGGATGATAATTACTGAAAAACAACTTTTTTTTTGAGACAGAGTCTCACTCTGTCACCCAAGCTGGAGTGCAGTGGTGAGATCTCAGCTTACTGCAACCTTGGCATCCCGGGTTCAAGCGATTCTCTTGCCTCAGCCTCCCCAGTAGCTGGGATTACAGATGCCTGTCACTACACTGGCTCATTTTTGTATTTTTAGTAGAGATGGGATTTCACCATGTTAGTCAGGCTGTTCTTGAACTTCTGACCTCAAGTGATCTGCCCACCTTGGCTTCCCAAAGTGCTGGGATTACAGGCGTGAGGCACCATGCCCGGCCTGAAAAAGAACTCTTTACCAATTTGATCTACCTGCAGGGCTACTTTATAAAAGATTTTGTCAAAGTGGCTTGAGACACAAAGGTGCTCTATGGCTTACTATGTAGGGAGCCTAGAATGACTCAACTGACCATTCTTGTTTTTATTCTCTCTATAAATATGGCTGACTCATTTTAATAACAATTTCCTGGGTGAAAAATATTCACCTTACCAACTACATACAAAAGCACAACTATATATTGTCTTAAAACATATACATACAAATATAAATACACACACACACACACACACACACTCACACACAGGCATACACACACATGTACACACGAGTCCCATAAATTTCTGGTTAGAAAATGCTAGCCAAATGCTTTAACTGACTTCAGAATCAGAAACAAGGTGAAGGTCATGCTTCTCCCCCAAAATACCACTTCCTTTTTTTTTTTTTTGAGACAGGGTGTCACTATGTCACCAAGGCTGGAGTATAGTGGTGTGATCACGGCTTGCTGCAGCTTCAACCTCCCCATGCTCAGGTAATCCTCTGAACTCAGCTTCCTGGGTGGCTGGGACTACAGGCACAGCACATACTACCATACCTGGCTAATTTTTGTATTTTTTGTAGAGACGGGCTTTGCCATGTTGCCTAGGCTGGTTTTGAACTCCTGAACTCAAGTGATCTTCCTGCCTCAGCCTCCCAAAGTGCTGGGATTACTGGTATGAGCCAGCGCACCAGGCCTAAAAATGCCCCTTCTTGATAGCATAACAGGATGACTATGGTCAATAATAATTTAATTGTATATTTAAAAATAACTAAAATAGTGTAAGCGGATGTATGTAATACAAAGGATAAATGCTTGAGGGGATGGAAAAAATAAAATACTATACGCAAAGGAAAAAATAAAAAAAAAATAAATGATCTTTCTGCCAATTTGTTACTGAAAATCACAGGGAAGTCATGGTGCATACAGGGAGGGAGGAGCTGAGAGTGTGCTGCCAACATGAACGTCTCTCCCAGCTCTGGGGCGGAGGCCAACTGCTCACGCCTGATTACGCTAAAATGCTGCAGATCTGGAGCCACCTTTCTTTCAAGCGCATTTGGACAGGATAACTCATAAGGGCATAGTATGCTTATCTGAAAGTCATGGCCTGATTACAGAAATCAGAAACAATTAGGTAATCTGTCTGACAAACTCCATCTCCCCTGCAATGTTAGGAGAATGTCCTGTGCTTCACAGGGAAATGCACTCAACTCGTAGTAGTTACATACCTGGAGTAGCTACAACACCTAATATTTCTGAGCAGTATTTGGCATATTCACTTGCAGCATCCAGCGATGTGTTGGTATGAAGAGACTGATCAACTTTGCTCAGAACAATCTGGCGCAGGGTCAGAAGACCTAATAACATAAGAATGTTTGGGCATGTTTTGGAAAAGACAGAACTGTGTGTTCTATTATCACAAGATTGCAGATTCCAAAAACGGATTCCAGTAGTACTCATCACAAAATGGGAGCAGGACATCTCATTCTACTTAAGATTTAAAAGAGATGTGGTTTTCTGTCTTAGACAAAATCCCAGGGTTTCCTACTTCAGTATATTTAATATTCTTCACTCCTCATATTAGCACTGTTGGGGTACCATTTAAAGGGAAAATAAGTTCTACAGAAGAAGATGCCAGCAATTTTTTTCTAAAATTACAAGTCATACCTGTGTTGACTAGTCTAGAAGCCACAAGTTTTTCAAGCAGATCATCTGAAATGGGGCTTCCGTCTTTATAATGTTTTGACAATCTTCGGAGGGAATCAATGTCCCACACCCAGTTTTCAAGCATTTGTGATGGCACTTCTACAAAGTCAGTTTCCACATTTGTTCCGCTAAATCGTGCAAAATCAGTCTAGAAAGCAAACACAGAGATTTTTTTTAAAGAACTGAATGAAAAGTACATATGCAATTAATAATTATTAAGAATCACCAAAACTTAAGGCAGAATCAGACTCAACTGCCCCTTTGAAAATAAAATACAGCAGCTGAGCAATAACCCCTAAATACCCTATATTGTGGTAATAATTTCATTCCTTTGAATTGTAAACAAGATTGGAACGATCATCAGGAAATCAAAACTCAAAAATACAAACAGTCTAAGCTAAAAACAAGCCTTAAGCTTTGAAAGCAAAAATATTTTAAAAGAATTTTCCATTAAAAAATGAAGAGATCCATTAAACAAGCAATTTTTCCCTGGCTCCTCCTTCCAATTGCTTACTTCTGTTTACTCAGTACATGCCTTTCTGCGGCACTCATCACTCTATTGCTTAACTACTTAAGTTTTAACCAAAATTAATTAAAGAGTTAAATGACAACACTGTAGACTGATAACCTTTGAGTGTGCGATGCTTTGTATTCTAAACTTTAAATGAGTGGTTCTAAGATTACTATGTTGTAGGAAGCCAGATTTCTACCTCTCAGATTGGGTGGACAATGTTACTTTAAAATAAGAAGCCGCTTCAGTAGGAGTTAGGTTTGTAAATTAATTGGCAAGTGGAGTGAGTTATATGCTATAGGAAAAGAGAAACAAGGGATGTATTCAAAAGTTAGAGCACTCCTGGTGCTCTAACTTCAGAATAAAGGACTTATTCTGAAGGCCTGAGCTGAGTTAAAAAAACAAAAGAGGTATCCGAGTCATGGCACCAGAATAAAAAAAAAAAAAAAAAAAAAAAAGTTTAAAAAGTTTAATGAAACCAAGTTTAGTAAATTCTTGAGTCAGACGTCAGAAAAGCTCTCAAGCAGAAAAACAGAGATTTACTAAAACAGGCTAGTGTTTTTAACCTTCACACAGTCCTTCAAACACTTGTAAAACTGCCATTGGCAGAGAAGACTTAGCATTTATCCTACTGGGTCATCTGCAGAATGGGGCTCCTCATTCTATTGTCTTTCCCTGAACCACTGTCCTGTTTTTTTCTTCTGATGTATTACATTCCAACCTTCTCTCCCTGACTTCATCATCCCTGAGGCTCCAAAAGGAGGGGAAAGGGAAGAGGGACGTAACCACCAGAGAAGGCAGCAGATGGGGTGCCGAATCAGCGGCAAATACCCACTCTGCTTTTTGGCCCAGGGCAGAGGCACAGATGTCAATGCCATCTCACATTCTGCCTTCCTCTCTTTATGCAAAAAAATGTTTTGCTTGACTTCTCATTAAAATTGTGCTGATTCTAGATATGAAGAGCTGCAAATATTAAAGGGGCAAGGATAACTAAATCCACTGGGTTCTGGAATTAGGCCACGTCTATTGAGGACATCCCAATTAAAAAATTTTTGCAGGGAGGCTGGGTGCGGTGGCTCACGCCTGTAATCCCAGCACGTAGGGTAACCGAGGTGGGTAGATCCCAGGGTCAGGAGTTCAAGACCAGCCTGGCCAAGATGGTGAAACCCCATCTCTACTAAAAATACAAAAAAAAAAAATTAGCTGGGCATAGTGGCGGGCACCTGTAATCCCAGCTATTGGGAGGCCGAGGCAGGAGAAGTGCTTGAACCCAGGAGGCAGAGGTTGCAGTGAGCTGAGATCAAACCACCGCAATCAAGGCAGGCCAAAAGAGGGAGACTCCAACTAAAAAAAAAAAAAAAAAAAAAAAAACTATTGCAGGGAAAGAGGTAAGCGTCCCAGAAATGGAATATTTTGTCTCATTATGGCATATGATGTTCTAAGATCACATCCTATATCATAGATAAAACAATCTTATACAGTAATTACAATAGCTAATATCTGTTGAGACTTTACTATGTCAGGCATTATAGCCATACCTTAGAGATATTGTGGGTTTAGTTCCAGATCACTGCAACGAAGTGAATATCACAATAAAGTGAGCTACATATATTTTTTGGTTTTCCAGTGCAGATAAAAGTCTATACGTTAACATTATACTGTAGTCTATTAACTGTTCAAAAGAATTACCTAAAAAAACAATGTACATGGCTGGGCATGGTGGTTCATCCTAGCACTTTGGGAGGCCAAGGAGGGTGGATCACCTGAGGTCAGAAGTTCAGGCCAGCCTGGCCAACATGGTGAAATCCTGTCTGCACTAAAAATACAAAAATTAGCCACACGTGGTGGCAGGCACCTGTAATTCCAGCTACTTGGAAGGCTGAGGCAGGAGAATCACCTGAACCTGGGAGGTGGAGGTTGCAGTGAGCCAAGATGGCACCACTGCATTCCAGCCTGGGTGACAGAGTGTGGCTCTGTCTCCAAACACACACACACACACACACACACACACACACATACACACACACACAATGTACAAACCTTTTATGTTAAAAAATACTAATGATCATCTGAGGCTTTGGCAAGCTGTAATCTTTTTGCTGATGGAGGCTCTTGCTTCCATCAATGTTGATGGTTACTGACTGATCAGGGTGGTACTTATGATCAGGGTGCTGACTGATCAGGGTGGTAGTTATGGAAGGTTGGCATGGCTGTGGCAATTTCTTTCCTTTTTTTGAGACAGGGTCTTACTCTGTTGCCCAGGCAGAAGTGCAGTAGTACGATCTTGGCTCACTGCAACCTCCGCCTCCCGGGTTCAAGCAATCCTCCTGCCTTGGCCTTCCTAGTAGCTGGGACTCCAGGCAGGTGCCACCATGCCTGGCTAATTTTTGCATTATTAGTAGAGATGGGGTTTCACCATGTTGACCATGTTGGTCTCAAGCTCCTGACCTCAGGTGATTCGCCTGTCTCAGCCTCCCAAAGTGCTGGGATTATAGGTGTGAGCCACCATGCCTGGCTGTAATTTCTTAAGACAAAGATGAAGTTTGCCACATCAATGGACCCTTCCTTTCATGAAAGATTTCTTGGTAGCATGTGATACTGTGAGATAGCATTTCACCCACAACAGAATGTCTTTCAAAACTGGAGTCAATTATCTCAATACCTGCCACTGCTTTACCAACTTAAGTTTACGTAATATTCTAAATCCTCTGTGGTCATTTCAATGATATTCACAGCATCTTCAGCAGGAGTAGACTGCAAATCAAGAAGTCACTTTTGTTGCTCATCTCTTTAAGTTTTATCTGAGATGGCAGCAATTCAGTCTCATCTTCAGGCTCCACTTCTAATTTTAATTCTCCTGCTGTTTCTACAATATCTGCAGTTCCTTCCTCCTTCCAGGTCTTGAACTCCTTCCCGAAAGTCATCTATGAGGGTTGAAATCAATTTCTTCCAAATTTCTGTTAATGTTGACATTTGATCTCTTCCCATGAATCATGCATGTTCTTAAATGGCATTTGGAATGGTGAATCCTTTCCAAAAGGTTGTCAATGTACTTTGGCCAGATCCATCAGAGAAATTACTATCTATGACAGCTATAGTCTTATGAAATGTATTTCTCGTATCATAAGACTTGAAAGTTGAAATTACGCCTTAATCCATGGACAGCAGAATGGCTATTGTGTTTGCAGGCATGAAAACGACATAATTTCCTTGAACATCTCCATCTGAGCTCTTGTGTGACCAGGTGCATTGTCAAGGAGCAGTAATACTTTGAAAGGAATCTATTTTTTTGAGCAGTAGATCTCAACAGTGGCTTAAAATAGTAAGCCATGCTGTAAACAGATGTACTGTCATCCAGGCTTTGCTGTTTCATTTATAGGGCACAGGCAGAGTAGATTCAGCATAATTCTTAAGGGCCCTAGAATTTTCAGAATGGTAAATAAGCAGTGGCTTCAACTTCAAGTCACCAGCTGCATTAGCCCCTAAGAGGAGAGTCAGCCTGACCTTTGCAGTTTTCAAGGTAGGCATTGACATCTCCTCTCTAGCTCTCCAGAAAGTCCTAGATGGCATCTTCTTCCAACAGAAGGCTGTTTCATCTACATGGAAAATCTGTCATTTAGTGGAGCCACCTTCCTCAATGATCTTAACTAGGTCTTCTGGATAACTTGCCACAGCTTCTACATCAGCAACTGCTGCTCCACCTTGTTCTATGTTAGAGACAGCTTCTTTCTTTGAACCTCATGAACTATAACCTCTGCTAGCTTCCAACTTTTCTTCTGTAGCTCTCACTTCTCTCAGCCTTCATAGAATGGGAGTTAGGGTCTTGCTCTGGATTAGGCTGTGGCTTAAGGGAATGTTGTGGCTGGTTTCCTCTTCTATCCAGACCACTCAAAGTTTCTTCAATCAGCAACAAGTCTATTTTGCTTTCTTATTATTTGTGTGTTTACTGGAGTAGCACTTTTAATAACTTTTAAGAAATTTTCCTTTTGTTTCATAACTTTACTGACTGGCACAAGAGGCCTATCTCACCTTTTGACATGCCTCTCTCACGAAGCTTGATCATTTCTAGCTTTTGATTTAAAGCAAAAGACTCATGACTCTTCCTTTCACTTGAACACTTATAGGTCATTGTAGGGTTACTGACTGATCTAATTTCAACATTGCTGAGTCTCAGAGAATAGGAGATCAAAGGAGGGGGTGAGAAAATGAGAAAGGGCTCGGTGGAGCAGTCAGTACACACATAACATTCATCAATTAAGTTCTCTAAGAGCATGGCTTGTGGCACCTCAAAACAATTGCAATAGTAATATCAAAGATTGCTGGTCACAATAACAGATATAATAATGATGAAAAAGTCTGAAATACTGTGAGAATTACAAAAATGTGACACAGAGACACAAAGTGAGCACATTCTGCTGGAAAAATAGCACTGATAGATGTGCCTGGGCAACATGGCGAGACCCTGTCTCTATGTAATAAAAAAAGAAATCACTGATCACAGATCATCATAACAGATATAATAACAATGAAAAAGTCATCTGGATGTGGTGGCTCACACCTGCAATCCCAGGATTCCAAAGGCCATGGCGGGGTGGATCATTTGAGGCCTGGAGTTCCAGACCAGCCTGGTCCACATG